TCACACAACCACGCATGGAAGTATGTCATATTATTTTAACACAGTGCAGCCATGCAACATCAATGTCAATTTCACGAACTTGTGGCGACACATCCTGTTTTGGTGACCAGATATTTCAAAATAAATGTCTTATTTAATTTGGTTCATATACAAATCAAACTTTTGCATGGGAACGCAAAACTATTGAGAGGGAACGCAAAGGAAACAAGAAACCCATGTCCCCTCGTGGGCTCCGTAAATTCTGAGACAGCCAAAAAGAGAATGCAAAAAAAATTCCAACTAACTTTTAGGCACAATAAAACAGATAATGCAAACAGTGTAAACAGTAGATGCACAGCTGGAGACACACACTAAGTGGTGTGTGACTGTTGTCTCAGGTGTCACATGTCTTTAACCTGTGTCTGCAGGCTCACACTGTAGATCTGTCAATAAGAACAGTGGAGACAAGTCAAGAGACTTTAGACAAACTCGTACATTTGCATTAAAAATAGAAAGAAGCCATTCAGTGCAGTAAAAAAACGACACAGAGCTTAAATCTTCTCTCTTTACARGCAGATCCTGATGTCCTGTTTGTCCCAGAGACACCAGAAAACCTCATCGTTCCTTACAACACGTTCCGAGTGATTGTCCCGTGTCGGGTGTCCCACCCAACGCTTCCTGTCGTCCTGAGGAGCATGTCCAGCGGGGAGAAGATCAGTGACTTTTATGTTGACAAGACAGGCTTTATTGAAAGGATCTCTCCTGGGCAGTACCAGTGTGAGACCACTGTGAAGGGCCGGACCTTCACCAGTGCCATCTACACTGTAAAAGATGAGGGTACGCTGAGACTAAATCAGATGTGTTCMTCTAAATGAGTGAGAATTGTAAAGTCATTAGTTTGTTGGTTCCTGTGAGAATGATGGTGGTCCTCCTGCAGAACCTGAGGAGCTGGAGGATTTTGAGGTGGAAGTTAAAGCCAGTGAAGAGACGGTGAGGGCCGGGCAGCCTCTCAACATCTCCTGCATCACCCCAGCTGGAGCCGATTACTTTCAGTACTGGCTTCATCCAAAAACACAGGCAAGCTGCAAGATTTTATCAGTTTTTTGTGCGTTTTCTTTATTTCACACTGCAAAAAATGTCCATCTAACCAAGTTTTAAAACCTTATATCAGCCAAAAAGTCTTTTTGATCTTGTTTTCAGACTGATTTACTAAACAAGAACTGATTGTGTAAGAATAATCATC